GACTCCCACCCCCCTCCCCGCCCTGGCCTTCGTCCCCACAGCCGACCCCCAGACTCCCACCCCCCCCCCCGCCCTGGCCTTCGTCCCCACAGCCGACCCCAGACTCCCACCCCCCCGCCCTGGCCTTCGTCCCCACAGCCGACCCCAGACTCCCACCCCCCCCCGCCCTGGCCTTCCTCCCCACAGCCGACCCCAGACTCCCACCCCCCTCCGCCCTGGCCTTCGTCCCCACAGCCGACCCCAGACTCCCCCCCCCGACCTTCGTCCCCACAGCCGACCCCAGACTCCCCCCCCCGACCTTCGTCCCCACAGCCGACCCCAGACTCCCACCCCCCCCGCCCCTCGTCCCCACAGCCGACCCCAGACTCCCACCCCCCCCGCCCCCCGCCCCCTCAGACGACCCCCCCCGCCCTTCGTCCCCACAGCCGACCCCAGACTCCCCCCCCCCCCCCTCGTCCCCACAGCCGACCCCAGACTCCCACCCCCCCGCCCTGGCCTTCGTCCCCTCAGCCGACCCCAGACTCCCACCCCCCCCCGCCCTGGCCTTCGTCCCCACAGCCGACCCCAGACTCCCACCCCCCCCGCCCTGGCCTTCGTCCCCACAGCCGACCCCAGACTCCCACCCCCCCGCCCTGGCCTTCGTCCCCACAGCCGACCCCAGACTCCCACCCCCCCCGCCCTGGCCTTCGTCCCCACAGCCGACCCCAGACTCTCCCCCCCCCGCCCCTGGCCTTCGTCCCCACAGCCGACCCCAGACTCCCACCCCCCCCCCCCCTGGCCTTCGTCCCCACAGCCGACCCCAGACTCCCACCCCCCGGCCTTCGTCCCCACAGCCGACCCCAGACTCCCACCCCCCCCCCCCGCCCTTCGTCCCCTCAGCCGACCCCAGACTCCCACCCCCCCGCCCTGGCCTTCGTCCCCACAGCCGACCCCAGACTCCCACCCCCCCCGCCCTGGCCTTCGTCCCCACAGCCGACCCCAGACTCCCACCCCCCCGCCCTGGCCTTCGTCCCCTCAGCCGACCCCAGACTCCCACCCCCCGCCCTGGCCTTCGTCCCCTCAGCCGACCCCAGACTCCCACCCCCCCGCCCTGGCCTTCGTCCCCACAGCCGACCCCAGACTCCCACCCCCCCCCGCCCTGGCCTTCGTCCCCACAGCCGACCCCAGACTCCCACCCCCCCCGCCCTGGCCTTCGTCCCCACAGCCGACCCCAGACTCCCACCCCCCCCGCCCTGGCCTTCGTCCCCACAGCCGACCCCAGACTCCCACCCCCCCCCCTGGCCTTCGTCCCCACAGCCGACCCCAGACTCCCACCCCCCCCCCCCCCCTGGCCTTCGTCCCCACAGCCGACCCCAGACTCCCACCCCCCCCGCCCTGGCCTTCGTCCCCACAGCCGACCCCAGACTCCCACCCCCCCGCCCTGGCCTTCGTCCCCACAGCCGACCCCAGACTCCCACCCCCCCGCCCTGGCCTTCGTCCCCACAGCCGACCCCAGACTCCCACCCGCCCCCCGCCCTGGCCTTCGTCCCCACAGCCGACCCCAGACTCCCACCCCCCTCCCCGCCCTGGCCTTCGTCCCCACAGCCGACCCCAGACTCCCACCCCCCCCCCCCTGGCCTTCGTCCCCTCAGCCGACCCCAGACTCCCACCCCCTCCCCGCCCTGGCCTTCGTCCCCACAGCCGACCCCAGACTCCCACCCCCCCCCGCCCCTGGCCTTCGTCCCCTCAGCCGACCCCAGACTCCCACCCCCCTCCCCCGCCCTGGCCTTCGTCCCCACAGCCGACCCCAGACTCCCACCCCCCCCGCCCTGGCCTTCGTCCCCACAGCCGACCACAGACTCCCACCCCCCCGCCCTGGCCTTCGTCCCCACAGCCGACCCCAGACTCTCCCCCCCCCCGCCCTGGCCTTCGTCCCCACAGCCGACCCCAGACTCCCACCCCCCCGCCCTGGCCTTCGTCCCCACAGCCGACCCCAGACTCCCACCCCCCGGCCTTCGTCCCCACAGCCGACCCCAGACTCCCACCCCCCCGCCCCGCCCTTCGTCCCCTCAGCCGACCCCAGACTCCCACCCCCCCGCCCTGGCCTTCGTCCCCACAGCCGACCCCAGACTCCCACCCCCCCGCCCTGGCCTTCGTCCCCACAGCCGACCCCAGACTCCCACCCCCCCGCCCTGGCCTTCGTCCCCTCAGCCGACCCCAGACTCCCACCCCCCCGCCCTGGCCTTCGTCCCCTCAGCCGACCCCAGACTCCCACCCCCCCGCCCTGGCCTTCGTCCCCACAGCCGACCCCAGACTCCCACCCCCCCCGCCCTGGCCTTCGTCCCCACAGCCGACCCCAGACTCCCACCCCCCCCCCCCCCTTCGTCCCCACAGCCGACCCCAGACTCCCACCCCCCCCCCCCGCCCCGCCGCCGACCCCAGACTCCCACCCCCCCGCCCCGCCCTTCGTCCCCACAGCCGACCCCAGACTCCCACCCCCCCCGCCCTTCGTCCCCACAGCCGACCCCAGACTCCCACCCCCCGGCCCTGGCCTTCGTCCCCACAGCCGACCCCAGACTCCCACCCCCCCTGCCCTTCGTCCCCTCAGCCGACCCCAGACTCCCACCCCCCCGCCCTGGCCTTCGTCCCCTCAGCCGACCCCAGACTCCCACCCCCCGCCCTGGCCTTCGTCCCCACAGCCGACCCCAGACTCCCACCCCCCCGCCCTGGCCTTCGTCCCCACAGCCGACCCCAGACTCCCACCCCCGCCCCTGGCCTTCGTCCCCACAGCCGACCCCAGACTCCCACCCCCCCCCCGCCCTGGCCTTCGTCCCCACAGCCGACCCCAGACTCCCCACCCCCCCGCCCTGGCCTTCGTCCCCACAGCCGACCCCAGACTCCCACCCCCCCCCCGCCCTGGCCTTCGTCCCCACAGCCGACCCCAGACTCCCACCCCCCCCCGCCCTGGCCTTCGTCCCCACAGCCGACCCCAGACTCCCACCCCCCCCCCCCTGGCCTTCGTCCCCACAGCCGACCCCAGACTCCCACCCCCCCCCCGCCCTGGCCTTCGTCCCCACAGCCGACCCCAGACTCCCACCCCCCCCGCCCTGGCCTTCGTCCCCTCAGCCGACCCCAGACTCCCACCCCCCCCCCGCCCTGGCCTTCGTCCCCACAGCCGACCCCAGACTCCCACCCCCCCCCGCCCTGGCCTTCGTCCCCTCAGCCGACCCCAGACTCCCACCCCCTCCCCCGCCCTGGCCTTCGTCCCCACAGCCGACCCCAGACTCCCACCCCCCCCCCCTGGCCTTCGTCCCCACAGCCGACCACAGACTCCCACCCCCCCCGCCCTGGCCTTCGTCCCCACAGCCGACCCCAGACTCTCCCCCCCCCGCCCTGGCCTTCGTCCCCACAGCCGACCCCAGACTCCCACCCCCCCCCCGCCCTGGCCTTCGTCCCCACAGCCGACCCCAGACTCCCACCCCCCGGCCTTCGTCCCCACAGCCGACCCCAGACTCCCACCCCCCCGCCCCGCCCTTCGTCCCCTCAGCCGACCCCAGACTCCCACCCCCCCCGCCCTGGCCTTCGTCCCCACAGCCGACCCCAGACTCCCACCCCCCCCCGCCCTGGCCTTCGTCCCCACAGCCGACCCCAGACTCCCACCCCCCCGCCCTGGCCTTCGTCCCCTCAGCCGACCCCAGACTCCCACCCCCCCGCCCTGGCCTTCGTCCCCACAGCCGACCCCAGACTCCCACCCCCCCCCGCCCTGGCCTTCGTCCCCTCAGCCGACCCCAGACTCCCACCCCCCCCCCCTGGCCTTCGTCCCCACAGCCGACCCCAGACTCCCACCCCCCCGCCCCTGGCCTTCGTCCCCACAGCCGACCCCAGACTCCCACCCCCCCCCCCGCCCTTCGTCCCCACAGCCGACCCCAGACCCCACCCCCCCCCCCCGCCCCGCCGACCCCAGACTCCCACCCCCCCCCCCCCCGCCCTTCGTCCCCACAGCCGACCCCAGACTCCCACCCCGCCCCGCCCTTCGTCCCCACAGCCGACCCCAGACTCCCACCCCCCCGGCCCTGGCCTTCGTCCCCACAGCCGACCCCAGACTCCCACCCCCCCCCGCCCTTCGTCCCCTCAGCCGACCCCAGACTCCCACCCCCCCGCCCTGGCCTTCGTCCCCACAGCCGACCCCATACTCCCACCCCCCCCGCCCTGGCCTTCGTCCCCACAGCCGACCCCAGACTCCCACCCCCCGGCCCTGGCCTTCGTCCCCACAGCCGACCCCAGACTCCCACCCCCCCCCCGCCCTTCGTCCCCTCAGCCGACCCCAGACTCCCACCCCCCCGCCCTGGCCTTCGTCCCCACAGCCGACCCCAGACTCCCACCCCCCCGGCCCTGGCCTTCGTCCCCACAGCCGACCCCAGACTCCCACCCCGCCCCGCCCTTCGTCCCCTCAGCCGACCCCAGACTCCCACCCCCCGCCCTGGCCTTCGTCCCCACAGCCGACCCCAGACTCCCACCCCGCCCCGCCCTTCGTCCCCTCAGCCGACCCCATACTCCCACCCCCCCCCCTGGCCTTCGTCCCCACAGCCGACCCCAGACTCCCGCCCCCCCCCGGCCTTCGTCCCCTCAGCCGACCCCAGACTCCCACCCCCCCCCCCTTCGTCCCCTCACCGACCCCAGACTCCCACCCCCCCCGCCCTTCGTCCCCTCAGCCGACCCCATACTCCCACCCCCCCCCTGCCTTCTCCCCACACCGACCCCAGACTCCCCCCCGCCCTGGCCTTCGTCCCCTCAGCCGACCCCAGACTCCCACCCCCCCCGCCCCTCGTCCCCACAGCCGACCCCAGGCTCCCCGAGGTCAGCGCCCGGCTCCTTTACTCAGCACCCAGGCGCGTGCCGGGCAGGGCAGAGGAAGCTCCGGCCCCCCGGGAGCCCGCGCGGCTCCGGCAGGAGGGAGGGTCACAGGGGCGGGGCCCCCGGCCTGAGCGGGTCCGTCGCACCCCGGGGCGCGCGCTGCGGCCCAGGGTCGCGCAGCCCCAGGCGGGGCTCGGGGGCTCCAGCCGCATCGGGGTCACCAGCGCGGCCCCGCGGAGGGGCCCAGCGCTAGCCCCGGCGTTGCCCTTTTAACGCGGCCGGGCTGCGGGACGTGATGTCACCAGGCCCCCGGAAGGGGCGGGGCCAGGGCCGGCGAGGCGGGACCGGGACCGGGACCGGGACTGGCAGCGGCAGCGGCAGACCGACCGACCGACTGACTGACCGAGCCCTGGTGCCCCCCGCCCGGCCCGGCCCGGCCCGGCCCGGGCCGCCATGACCCTCCCCGTCTTCTTCGGCTGCAGCTTCATCGCCTTCGGGCCGGCGCTCGGGCTGCTCGTCTTCACCGTGCTGCGGGACCCGCTGCGCGTCATCGTGCTCGTCGCCGGGTGAGTGCGCGGGAGCGGCCCGGGGGGGGCCCTGGCGGAGCCCCGGGCGGACCTCCTGCGTGCCCCGGGGCCAGAGCCAAGGGTCCGACCAGCCCCGCGTCCTGTCCGCCGTCAGGGGCCGGCGCCCCACGGGGAGCGAACAGGCAGCGAAGCCCCCAGTGACCCATCCCCGGTCGCCCATTGCCCGCCTCTGGCACCATCCCTGCTAATAGCCATTGTTGGGCCTGTCCTCCAGGAACTTACCTACTTCTTTTTTAAACCCTGTTATACTCTTGGCCTTCACAGCCTCCTCTGGCAAGGAGTTCCACAGGTTGACTGTGCGCTCTGTGAAGAAATACTTCCTTCTGTTTGTTTTAAACCTGCTGCCTGTTCATTTCATTGGGTGACTCCTAGTTCTTGTGTTGTGAGAAGGAGTAAATAACACTTCCTTATTTGCTTTCTCCATCCCAGTCATGATTTTATAGACCTCTGTCACATCGCCCCTTAGTCATCTCTTTTTCAAGCTGAACAGTCCCAGTCTTATTAATCTCTTCTCATTAGGAAGCTGTTCCATACCCTCAGTCACTTTTGTTGCTCTTTTCTGTGCCTTTTCAAATCCCAATATATGTTTTTTGAGGTAGGGTGACCAGATCTGTATGCAGTATTCAAGATGTGGGAATATTCTGGATTTATACAGAGGCAATATGATATTTTCTATGTTATTAACTATCCCTTTCATAATGATTCCCAAAATTATGTGCCAGAACCTGGGAATGGGCAACAGGGGATGGATCACTTGATAATTCCCTGTTCTGTTCATTCCCTCTGGGGCACCTGGCACTGGCCACTGTCAGAAGACAGGATAATGGGCTAGATGGACCTTTGCTCTGACCCAGTACGGTCGTTCTTATGTTACCTTTTTTGACTGCTGCTGCTCATTGAGTGGATGTTCTCAGAGAACTGTCTATAATGATTCCAAGATCTTTCTCTTGAGTGGTAACGCCTAATTTAGATCCAGTCATTTTGTATGTACAGTTGGGATTATAGCACTGGTTGTAGGTCTCGTCTGACCTCCTGTACAACATAGGCCAGGGAACTGTCCCACAATACTCTCTAGAGTAGAGGTTTTCAAAAAACATTTGCTCTTGATTTAAAATTTGTCAGGTTATGGAGTATCCACCATGATCCTTGGTAAATTGTTCTAATGGTTAATTACCCTTACTGTTAAAAACATACACCTTCTTTTCAGTCTGAATTTGTCTAGCTTCGCTGTCCAGCCATTAGATCATGTTATGCCTTTCTCTGCTAGATTGAAGAGCCCATTATTAAACATTTGTTCCCCATGTGGGTACTTATAGCCTGATCAAATCACACCTTAACCACCTCTTTGTTAAAAGTTTATCACTAATTTTTTCTAATTTTTTAATCATTCTCATGGCTCCTCTCTGAACCTTCTCCAAATTATCACCAATTACAGGCATCAGAACTGGACACAGTATTCCAGCAGTAGTTGCACCATTGCCAAATAAAAAGGTAAAATAATCTCTACTCACACTCAAGATTCCCGTTTATACATCCCAGGATCGCATTAGCTCTTTTGGCCACTGTGTCATACTGGGAACTCATGTTTGGCTGATTATCCATCCCCCCCAGGGTGCTGGAACAATTTGTATAGTGGGGCTGCTGAGAGCCATTGAACCAAACTGTAAAGCTTGTATATAATGGAAACCCATTTCTAGCCAGGGGGTGCTGCAGCACCCCCTACACCCTAGTTCCAGCACCTATGCACCCCCCCACAAGCTTTTTAGAGTCTCTGTTTCCCAGGATCCTGTGAGCATGGCCGACATTCTGTGTTCCACACCTTTCCTAAAAGGTGGTGCCCAGAATTAGACGCAGCTCACCCAGCACCAAGGAGAGCAGGACAATTGCATCCCATGGTTTTCGTACACAATTCCAGTTAATATACCCCAGAATGATACCAGCCTTTTTGCAACCGCATGATGTGGTTGACCCATATTCAATTTGTGATCCCCAGGATCTCTAACCCCCAGATCCTTTTTAGCAGTACTCTCACCTAGCCAGTTGTTCCCCATTTTGTAGTTGTGCATTTGATTTTTCCTTCCCAAGTGAAGTACTTTGCACTTGTTTTTATTGAATTTCATCTCCTTGAATTCAGACCAATTCTCCAATTTGTCGGGGTTGTTTTGAATTCTAATTCTGTTCTCCAAAGTGCTTCCAACTCTCCCAGCTTGGTGTCTTCTGCAGATTTTATAAGCATACTCTCCACTCCATTATCCCAAGTCATTAACGAAAAAAATTGAGCAGTACCAGACCCAGGGCTGACCGCTGCAGGACCCCGCTAGATACATCCTCCTGGTTTGACAGCAACCCATTGATAATGACTCTTTGAATACGGTCTTTCAACCAGTTGTGCACTTGCCTTATTGTAATTTCATCTAGACCACATTTTTCTAGTTTTCTTATGAGAATGTCACATGGGACTGTCAAAAGTCTTACTAAAATAAAGAAAAGGAGTACTTGTGGCACCTTAGAGACTAACCAATTTATTTGAGCATGAGCTTTCGTTTTTTTATTTTTTTTATCAAATAAAGATACATCATATCTACTGCTTTCCCCATATCCACTTGGCCAGTAACTCTGTCAAAGAAGGAAATGAGATTAGTTCGGCATGATTTGTTCTCGATAAATCCATGCTGGCTGTTCCTTATAACCCTGTTTATTTCTAGATGCTTATAAATTGATCTGTTTAATAATTTCTTCCAGTATTTTTCCAGGTATTGAAGTTAGGTTGACTGGTTTGTAATTCCGTGGTCCTCTTTGCTCCTCTTCTTAAAGATAGGTACTATGTTTGCCCTTCTCCAATCCTTTAGGATCTCACCCATCCTCTAGGAGTTCTCAAAGATTGCTTCAGCTAGTTCTGTAAGTAGGAACTAGAATGAATTTCATTAGGTCTTGCTGACTTGAATACATCTACTTATCTAAATAGTCTTGAATCTATTCTTTCCCTATTTTGCTTGCATTCCTTCCCCCTTGTTAATAGTAACTGTGATTTCAACTTAGTTTGCAATGGTGTTGTAGCCATGTTGGTCCCAGGAATGAGAGACAAGGTGGGTGAGGTAATATCCTTTATTGGACCAGCTTCTGCTGGTGAGCGAGACAAGCTTTTGAGTTTATACAGAGCCCTTCTTCAGGTCTGGGAAAGGTACTGAGAGTGAAGACAGCTTGTCTCTCTCACCAGCAGAAGTTGGTCCAATAAAAAAATTACCTCACCCACCATGTCTCATCAAGCTAGTTTGACAGGATCTATTTTCCATAAACCCATGCTGATTGGCATTAATTATATTACCCTCCTCTAATTCTTCATTATTAGAGTCCCATATCAGCTGCTTCATTATCTTGCCCAGGATCAATGTCTGGCTGACAAGCCCATAATTACCCAGGTCATGCTGTTTACCCTTTCAAAATATTGGCATACTATTTGCTTTCTTCCAGCCTTCTGTACCTTTCCCCAGCGTTCTAGGGCATTTTGAAAATCAGCAGTAACGGTCCAATGAGCTCCTCAGCCAGCCTTTCTAAAACTCTTGGGTTCAGGTTATATGGACCTGCTGTTTTAAAATATCATCTAACTGATCGAGCTGCTGTGTGGCATTCTCCTGAGAAAGTAGTGGAATGGAAAGAGTTATATTGTCATATGATGAGCCTACAATATCTGTCTCCCACAAACAGAACAGAAATATTTATTGAACTCCTCTGCCTTTTCTCATTATTCTTGATAATTTTACTACTTCCATCTAGTAATAGACCAATCCATTGTCAGGATTCTGGTTCTTTCAAACATATTTTAAACATTCTTATTGTCTTTATCTCTGCTGGCCACAGGTTTCTCTTTGTGTCCCGTTTCAGTGTTCTACAATTCCTAACTTCTGATTTAAATCCATTGCCATCCCCTTCTCCTTTCTTCCATTTGTTGTGTATTGTTTAATTTTTGTACGCTAAAGAGTGTGAGGTGTGCACAATGGGGGCCAGGTAGATCAAAAGAGCAGGACCTGAGAGGAGGAGGTTTCAGGTCTGAGTATATTTTCTATGGGGCAGACCAGCAACAGTCCCCTGTGCCCCAAGAGAAGGATCTGGGGCAGCCTGGGTCAGAGAGAATGGGGGAGCTCAGGGAACAGGAGCTGAGCACCTCTGCAGATTTCAGGGGCTGAGCCCTACAGCAGCTCCACCGGACACCACTGGAGATGCAGACTGCTCCATCATGGGGCATGCTCTGTGGGACAAGTCACCATTCCCTTGTGCTGTCATTTACAGCAGTGCAAACATGTGCCATGCTGTCCGTCGGCGTTCGCTCTCTTTGCAGCACTGGGCAGGGCAGACATTGGCAGGAAATAAAATAAAGATTCAGCTTGGAAAAGGCAGCTGGGGGCCAGGGTGTGGTGGGAGGGGAAATAACTCCAGTGCCAGTCCCGGTGGGCAGGAGAGAGCAGCATTCAGCGAGAGAGCAGGGCGCGGGGCAGCCAGGTGACATGGCAGCAAGAGACACCGATGCCATGTTGGGTGGTGAAGATCGGAGCTGGAAGAATGAGAGTTGCTCTGTATCGCATGGACAGGATGGGGAGTGTGGCTGTGGAAGGGAAATGTAGAGAGCCCTTTTATTTGGCATATTAGACAAAGTGAGACATTCCTGGCCGTGCCTGAGGACGTGGCTGCTGGGACCTAATCCAGGTCTTTCTCTAACTCGGGTGGGCAAACCTTTTGGCCCGAGGCCACATCGGGGTTGCCAAACTGTATGGAGGGCCAGGTAGGGAAGGCTGTGCCTCCCCAAACAGCCTGGCCTCCACCCCCTATCCGCCCCCTCTTCATTTCCTGCCCCCTGACTGCCCCCCTCCCCCAGAAGCCCCAACCCATCCAACCCCCCCATGCTCCTTGTCCTGTGACTGCTCCCCAGAACCCTCTTCCCCTTATCCAACCTCTCCCGCTCCTGCCCCCTTACCATGCTGCTCAGAGCGGCAGGAGCTCGCAGCCACGCCACTGCACTGCCTGGCAGGAGCAACGGGCCAGAGCGCTGGTGGCGCTGCGAGCTGAGGTTGCGGGTGAGGGGGGACAGCAGGGGAGGGGCCGGGGACTAGCCTCCCCAACCGGGAGCTTGAGGACCGGGCAGGACGGTCCCGTGGGCCAGATGTGGCCCACGGGTCGTAGTTTGCCCCCCTCTGTTCTAACAGGTATGGTGTTGTGTGTGTTAGGCCGCAGGCCTCAGCTCTGCGGGCCAGCTGCCTTGGGACCTGGCTCCCCTTGCTGCACCCAGCGTGCCTGAGACCTGCAGTGATGGGGGCTGTGTGTCTTTCACTTGCTACCAGGTGTTCCAGACGTTTGCTATGTTCTGCTCTGAGTGCCGTGTGCTTCAGGTGGGGCACTAACTGCCCCAGTCTGCTCCCTGGCTGAGGAGCACAAGGGCCTCATTTTGGAGCTGCTGCTAAGGGGCGCAGTCCCTGCGCACTCGGTGGTTTGAGTGGTGTGTCTGTCATGGGGTGGACACCAGATGGGGGGGGGGGGGGTGTCTCTGTCCATGCACTGCAGGATCTTGAGTTGGGTTAGCAGTACGGTTTTTCTGCCACTTCCCATGTTTCTGGGCCCCCCATTGGTCTGGGCACTGCATCCTGCTGCTCTCAGAGGGGCTGCTGTGGACGGTGGCAGGAGAGCACCAGTCCTCTGTCTGGAGGGGCCGAGCACATGATCCGTCATGCTCTTTCAGAGAGATTTCAGCACAGATTCGTTCTCTCGGCTGGCGCATGGGAGTCACAGATTTCCACCAGCTGAGACTCCTGCCACAGGTATCCACACCTCTCCCCACCCCTAGCTCTGCCGAGCCTGACCAGGCCTGGGAGCTGCACCCCACTGATGTGCAGATAGTGGGGCCCTTTCCACACTGCCCAGCCTGGGTGGCTGTCTGAAGCAGGCAGGCAATATGGTGCTGCACGTTCCAAAATGGCCTCTCTCTCTTTCAGGGCCTTTTTCTGGCTGGTCTCCCTGCTCCTGTCATCGTTAGTCTGGTTCATTGCTGTTAAAGCCAGTGACCCAGGAGATGAGCCGCTGCAGAAGGGCCTCCTAATATTCGGGGTCCTGTTCTCCGTGCTCCTACAGGAGGCCTTTCGATTTCTCTACTACAAATTGCTCAGGTAAGGAGTGGTGTGGGGTGCCTCACACTACCTGCCTTTGTAGACTGTCAGTCCAAACTGTAACTGCACTGCTTATTGCACAAGCCAGGACTTTACACTCACCCTGCTGCCCCACCCCGCTTGTCTGTTTGATTCACCTGATGTCTCTCATTACGTATTCAGACTGTGAGTTCTGTGGTGCAAGGACTGTCTCTCTCTTGTTTTTGTTACAGGTGTTTAGAGTGCCCAGCACAAAGGAGCCCTGAGCTCCCGCCCCTAGGTGCTCCTGCAATACGAATAGTAAATAGAATCATAATTGTGATTAAATTCATCTAGTTTTAAGGTCAGAAAGTCCATTAAATAATCTAGTCTGAGCTCCTGTGTAGCACAACCCATTGAATTTTCCCCAGTTCCCTCTGCACGGAGCCCGATAACTTGTGTTTGGCTGAAGCAGCTTCCAGAAAGACATCCAAGCTTGATCCGACTCCAAACAATGGAGAATCCACCACTGCCCATAGGACTTTCTTCCAATGGTTCATCAGCTTCATTGTTAGACATTTGTGCCTAATTTCTAACCTGAATTTGTCCAGTTTCAGCTTCCAGTGTTGGGTCTTGTTCAGCCCATCTCTGCTAGACTAAAGAGCCCTTTGGTACATGGCATTGTTTTCCCAGGAGGGCACTGACACACTGTAAGCAAGTCACCTCTCCATTGTCTTTTTGATTCCCGTTCATTTAACGCAACATTCTTATGAGTGCTGCTTTACCACAAAGGGGGAAAGCCAAGAAATTAGCGTAGTGGAAAAATCCAGTGTGCCTGAGAATCTGGCAATGCTTACGCTGCATCCTGCTCCAAGCCACGACCCGACCCAGCATTCCTCTGCATCCTGCTAGCTTCCCTACTACAGCAGTGAGGTGCATTCCTCATTCTGTAGCCGTACAATAATCTGCGTATCACCTGACCCCGCATCTCCAGCCTGTGGTAGGTACAGTCCTGTGAGAGCCCTTGGGCCGGAGTTACAAAGAGCTCAGCATGTTGGGTGCTTGTGTGTGCCTGAAATTGACCATTATCTAGGTGTCTGCGTGGGAGCTGAGCTCTTGTGAAAATCTGGCCCATCTCACCAGGGGCTGCTGACTGTCCCGGTGCATTCAGGACAGACATGGAAGAGCTGGTCTCCGCTTTTGCCTTGGGCGCATGATCTCTGTCCAGTACTGGGAGGGTGAACGGCGCAGCGGGCGGTATGCAGCTCCCAGTGGGCTGGTGGAAGAGGTCCGAGTCTGTTGTGGACCATTTATGATGGGTAATAAGGGATCAGGGATGGATTGGCTGAGTCACAGGCCAGGATGCTACATCCCAAACACTGGCCACAGCGGTCTTGTCTGATATGTAGACAAGACCTCTGATGTGTAGATTATTGTACGGCTTCCCTAATGGCACGGGCCACCTCCCTGGCCTACCCAGGGTAGGCAAACTTCCATCTTCAGTACTGGGCCTAGGCATGCTGAGTGCAGGTGGGTGAAGGCCGGACGCCGCAGGGAGGAAGCTGGATATACATGTTGCAATAAGGGTGGGAGGGGCAGAACTGTTCAGGTCATGGTGGCAAGAACGGGTGGATTACTCCATTGCTGGGAAGTGCTGGAACCGTTGTCTGCGCAGCTTTGTAAACATGGTAATGTGTATCGAACATCTGAGAAGCTGGGGCTGATTCTGATGTCCTCGTGGCTGGGGTGGGGAGTTTTGCTTTTCCCTGTTACAGTGCGCCCATCCAGCTTTGGAATCCATCCATCTAGTAACTGGATGAGAGCAAATCACTGCCCTCTGCCAGCTCCCCCCGTCCTGCAGGGACCCCCCCCCCCCCACTGCTGAGCTCCCCAGGTCTGAAGGGGGGACGCACCGAAGGAAGGGTGGAGGCGCTTGGGGAGAAGCAGCTAAGTGGAGGTGGAGGTTACAGTTTGGGCGGGGACTTCTCCTAAAGGGACTCTTCATATTCCCACAGCAATCTTGAAACAGGCCACTTTCTTCTCTATGTGTGAGTGTCTGCTGCAACTCCCGGCTGCAACGCTTCCATAGTGCTATGTTTCATCCCGAAGCCTAGAGCACTGAGCAGCTAATGGTGCCCTGGGTACTCAGCTCACCAGGATTCTTTTGCTCAAGACACACACTTGGGGCCTGGTTCTTACGCCCCCTAATTCTGGTTTAACTGGCTACGTTGGCACCCCCCTGCACAAGGAGGAGAATTCCTGGGTGACGCACAAGTGCAGTGGCTCTATGCTGGACTCCATGTAGGGACGTGGCCAGAGCACCTCTCCACTTCAGGTATTCCTGACTGCCCTTTGCATCATGGTCAGTAGGTGTAATTAGAGCAGGCCTCAGGCAGCTTGAATTTATGCCAGGGACTGGTCTGATCTTCTTGACCTGCTGCTCGACAAACCGGGAAGAATTAGTAGGGGAAGCAAAAGTGGATGGGAACCTGGGAGGCAGTGACCGTGAGATGGTCGAGTTCAGGATCCTGACACAGGGAAGAAAGGAGAGCAGCAGACTTCAGAAAAACAGACTTTGACTCCCTCAAGGAACTGATGGGCAAGATCCCCTGGGAGAATAACATGAGGGGGAAAGGAGTCCAGGAGAGCTGGCTGTATTTTAAAGAATGCTTATTGAGGTTACAGGGACAAACCATCCCAATGTGTAGAAAGAATAGTAAATATGGCAGGCGACCAGCTTGGCTTAACAGTGAAATCCTTGCTGATCTTAAACACAAAAAAGAAGCTTACAAGAAGTGGAAGATTGGACAAATGACCAGGGATGAGTATAAAAATATTGCTCGGGCATGCAGGAGTGAAATCAGGAAGGCCAGATCACACCTGGAGTTGCAGCTAGCAAGAGATGTTAAGAGTAACAAGAAGGGTTTCTTCAGGTATATTAGCAACAAGAAGAAAGTCAAGGACAGTGTGGGCCCCTTACTGAATGAGGGAGGCAACCTATTGACAGAGGATGTGGAAAAAGCTAATGTACTCAATGCTTTTTTGCCTCTGTCTTCACGAACAACGTCAGCTCGCAGACTACTGCACTGGGCAGCACAGCATGGGGAGGAGGTGACCAGCCCTCTGTGGAGAAAAGTGGTTCGGGACTATTTAGAAAAGCTCGACGAGCAGAAGTCCATGGGGCTGGATGCGCTGCATCCGAGAGTGCTAAGGGAGTTGGCGGATGTGATTTGCAGAGTCATTGGCCATTATCTTTGAAAACTCATGGCGATCGGGGGAGGTCCCCGACGACTGGAAAAAGGCTAATGTAGTGCCCATCTTTAAAAAAGGGAAGAAGAAGGATCCGGGGAACTACAGGCCAGTCAGCCTCACCTCAGTCCCTGGAAAAATCACGGAGCAGGTCCTCAAGGAATCAATTCTGAAGCACTTAGAGGGGAGGAAAGTGATCAGGAACAGTCAGCATGAATTCACCAAGGGCAAGTCATGCCTGACTAATCTAATTGCCTTCTGTGACGAGATAACTGGCTCTGTGGATGAGGGGAAAGCAGTGGATGTATTGTTCCTTGACTTTAGCAAAGCTTTTGACACAGTCTCCCACAGTATTCTTGCCAGCAAGTTAAGGAAGTATGGGCTGGATGAATGGACTATAAGGTGGATAGAAAGCTGGCTAGATTGTCGGGCTCAATGGGTAGTGATCAATGGCTCCATGTCTAGTTGGCAGACGGCTTGAAGGTGATTTCAGGGCTCTGCCTTAAGTCCTGACTGAGCTTGTAGAGGTGACAAGCAATGCCTGAGATGGTATTATGCCCATCTGTTATCATTTGTGCTCATTCTGAACTAAAAGGCTCAGACCCAGGTAAAGAGCAATGAGGCAGTTACTTAGAAGTTTGGGATCGGATCTCATCAGCAGACAGTTTCTATGTTCTTTGGATTCTGGTCTTGGGTCCAGGATGCTCCTATTACTCCCACTCTGGAGGGGCCGATACCATGGCCTTGGTGGTTCACAACTCTACTTGCTTGCACACGTCTGCTGGGCTCAGCCCAAGAGCAACTTTTATAGAAAGTCTCTTCAGATTTTTCTGGGGTGAGGGTGGGCAGGGGCAGCCCCCCACTTCACCTGATCTGACACCCAGATCTGTGCATCAGGACTTGGTTCTCAGGTTCCTGAACTGCATTCCCTACAGTAGCCAGTAGGTGGTGATAGTGTATTACAAAAGTTCCATGTTTTGCTCAGTGGAGATTGGGTTCTAATTGCAAACGATTTGATCCTGTTTGCACAAGGCTCTCCCGGCCTTGGCCCGGAAGCGCAGAGTCACTCTTCTGGGAATTGGGTCCCTCCCTTTGTTTAGTTAGAGATTGGTAAAGCAAGGCCAGAATGGGCCATTATGATCATCCAGTCTGCCCTCCTGCATAGCACAGGCCAGCGAGCCTCGCCCAGTGATTCCTGCATGAAACCCAGAATGTCTGTTCCCTGTTGGCAAACTGTCAGGAACTGAAAAGGAGTACTTGTGGCACCTTAGAGACTAACCAATTTATTTGAGCATGAGCTTTCGTGAGCTACAGCTCACTTCATCGGATGCATACCGTGGAAACTGCAGCAGACATTATATACACACAGAGATCATGAAACAATACCTCCTCCCACCCCACTGTCCTGCTGGTAATAGCTTATCTAAAGTGATCATCAAGTTGGGCCATTTCCAGCACAAATCCAGGTTTTCTCACCCTCCACCCCCCCACACACAAACTCACTCTCCTGCTGGTAATAGCCCATCCAAAGTGACAACTATCTTCAAAATGTGTATGATAATCAAGGTGGGCCATTTCCTGCACAAATCCAGGTTCTCTCACCCCCCTCCAAAAACCACACACACAAACTCACTCTCCTGCTGGTAATAATTTATCCAAAGCGACCACTCTCCCTACAATGTGCATGGTAATCAAGGTGGGCCATTTCCCGCACAAATCCAGGCTTTCTCACCCCCCCCCCTTTTTTTCCCGGGGACGGACACACACACACACACAGACACTCACTCTCCTGC